TTGAGATGGCCCCCCGCTCAGGAGCTTAAAATATTTCTCATAGTGCTAATACTATCTGATGTATTATTCTAGCAGTTTGAATTCTTCTCAGCCCTAGTGTATTAAAGGCCAACTCAGTGTATTAGGAAGCAGGTTTCCTAACCTAAGGAAAGTGTTGAGCATGTAAAATAGTAAAACCATTTAAATAATTGAATAAGTTAACCTTTTAAGGCAATTTTAATGTTTTCTTCTTAATAGATATTGCTGGATAACACTATAAAAATAGTCTTCTTTATTATGATCAAACTATATTACATTTTTTACCCTTTTGTGCTTCCAGAAGTATCCTAAAACATTGAAATTTGCATTTTACTGATTGCCAAAAAAAATTAATTTTACTGTAATTGAAATCAGATATCTGCAACTTAAATTTCTTGAACTTACTTTACTTCTCTGATTTGATCTTTCTCTCTCTGCAAGTCTTTGCTTTCAACAATTTTTATTTGATTAAATACAGGCGAATGTCAGATGGGCTTTTTCTGAAAAAATGCAGGGAAGTTGCAGAAAACTGTAAAGATATTAAATTTAATGAGATGTACCTTGATACAGTATGTTTGAATGTAAGTATATATTCACACTTACCTGCCACTTTTTGTGGTGTATAGTGTGTCCGTGTGGTGCACAGTTTTTGATTGCTAAACACACAAATGCATTTTTTGTAGATGGTCCAGGATCCGTCCCAGTTTGATGTCCTTGTTATGCCAAATTTGTATGGAGACATCCTTAGGTGAGTCTGGCTATACCTTTTAGCCTACAGTTTATTGATAAGTGTCATAAAATAAATTGTGGCTTACAAATTTTAATCAAATATTATAAAATACAGCATTTGTTACAAGCTACGAGTTGAATTCTGACAATTCAGGTGGTGACATCAATGGTGATATGCTGGTTGGGTTATTCATTCATTTGCCAAATCAGCTCTGGGCTCTTGCTCCCTGACTATTAGTTCCCTCTTCCCATTTTACAGATATTTTATTGGTTGGTTGATTGATTGATTTCAGTGTTTTATCATGTATAGCTAGGTAGGTGGGTGTTGATTTTTATAAATTTTTTGTAACTTTTGGCATAATTTCAGACTTACAGAAAAGTTGCAAGAATGGTACAAAGAATTCCTGTGTACTCAGCACCCACATTCACCAAATGTTAACATTTTACCAGACTTACTTTATTGCTCCCTCTCTCTCTCTCTCTCTCTCTCTCTCTTCTTCTATCCTTTTCCCTCCCTTCATCCTCCTCCTCCTCCTTCTTTTTTCTCTCTTTGTCTCTACACACATACACGTGATGGTAGTCAAATGGTGCTTTTGTAAGTCCATCATTCCTTCTACATGTATTAGTTGGCATTCTACTGTAAGGATAAGCTTTTCCTTCTCTCTTATTTGTTTACTTATTTACCTATATCAATTTGGACTCCTGGTTTCTGTTTTATTTAGTGGTTATATCCATCACCATCATCTTTTATATTGATGCATATGTTGTGCAGACTTGGCCAGTGGGAGTCCCTTTGAACTGTCTCTGTCCTTTTGACACAGCCCATCATTTGCTTTCTGGCACAATAAGGTGCTTCAGGCTCATCCTATATTTTCCTAACTGTAGTCCTGGAATCAGTCATTTCCCTAAGTAGCCCAGGTTCCTTTTAGTGGAGAATGGTATTTAAAGATGAAAGTCTGGGTGCTAGGTGAGACGTTTTATTTTTCAAAATATCCTTTGAAATGCTTTTCTGCCCCCAGTGACCTGTGTGCAGGACTGATTGGAGGTCTTGGTGTGACACCAAGTGGCAACATTGGAGCCAATGGAGTTGCAATCTTCGAGTCGGTAAGGATCCTGGTGACACCTGAAGCAGAATTCAAGTCAGAATGACATGAGAACCCGGGAGGGCTTATCTGCATAAATATATTTTAACTCTTGAGTTTTTCCAGTTGTCAGAAGAAAATGAAGCTTGGTTTATTCATTCGTTTTCCTCTTATTTCTTTTTTATCCTTATTATTTATTATGTATCCTTCCTCAGTTAAAATATTTTACTGAAAGTTGGACTGGATAAGATTGTTAGTCCATATTTTTGCACTTAAAAAAGAATTTCTTTAGCTCTTTATTTTTCTGAGGTTTTATTTCTAAGACATGTCTGAGCAGCTATTTGGTAGCTATTTTTCATCGGTGAGGAAAGCTGATTAAGAGCCCAGCTTCCCTGGAAGAGGGCTGTTTGCTCCTGTCTCCCTCCTGACTGCTCTCTTTTCCCCCTACCCGGGCAGGTTCACGGGACCGCCCCAGACATCGCGGGCAAGGACATGGCCAACCCCACGGCCCTCCTGCTCAGTGCCGTGATGATGCTGCGCCACATGGGGCTTTTTGACCACGCTGCAAAGATTGAGACAGCATGTTTTGCTACAATTAAGGATGGGAAGGTATTGGTAACGTTGCCACACTTTTGCTGGGTAAAATACATTTCCTCCTTGGGTTTTTTTTTTTTTTTTTTTCCGGTATGTGGGCCTCTCACTGTTGTGGCCTCTCCTGTTGCGGAGCACAGGCTCCGGACGCGCAGGCCCAACGGCCATGGCTCACAGGCCCAGCTGCTCCGCGGCATGTGGGATCTTCCCGGACCGGGGCACGAACCCATGTCCCCCGCATCGGCAGGCGGACTCCCAACCACTGCGCCACCAGGGAAGCCCCCTCCTTGGGTTTTATGTGCGTGAAGGACCGATGATGGTTCTTCTCAAGAGGGCCAAAGGATTGGATGTCGAACAGGCATTCTTTATTTTTTTTTTTAAATTAATTGATTTATTTATTTAGGGCTGTGTTGGGTCTTCGTTTCTGTGTGAGGGCTTTCTCTAGTTGTGGCAAGCGGGGGCCACTCTTCATCGCGGTGCGCAGGCCTCTCACTATCGCGGCCTCTCTTGTTGCGGGGCACAGGCTCCAGACGCGCAGGCTCAGTAGTTGTGGCTCACGGGCCCAGTTGCTCCGCGGCATGTGGGATCTTTCCAGACCAGCGCTCGAACCTGTGTCCCCTGCATTGGCAGGCAGATTCTCAGCCACTGCACCACCAGGGAAGCCCCGAACAGGCATTCTTAATGTGGGCTCCCTGAGTGAACTCGGGCATTCTGCACACGTGTGTGCATTTTCTGAAAAGAGGATTAACGTATTTCATCAGGGAAGGGCTGAGAAGCACTGTGGTAGGGGCACCAGGGTGCAATGGAAAGAGCAGTGGTGTGGGCGTCAGAGCAGTGCACACCCAGTTACCCTGTTGTTACCTGTGGGATCTTGGCCAAGTCCATTAATTTTTCTTGGCAGCTTTTTCCTCTTCCCGGCAAACATCTATTGCGTACATGATAAGGTATGGAGAATATAATAAAATGAGGAATAAGGTATGGTCTCAGGCCTCAAGGAGCTTGGAATCTAGCAGTAGTACAGATGCAGATGTGTCTGTAATACAGTGGAGCTATATGTTATACTATGTGCATCTGTGATATAAAAGTAATGTAGAAGTTTTATAGAAGTAATAATGGCTGATATTTATTGAATACTTTCGTGATTTTTATATTCATTATATATATCTTAGCAAATCTCTACTCCTATGTGACATAGATACTGTAATTAAGCCCATTTTTTAGAGGAGGAAACCGAGGCACAGAGAGATTAAGTTTATCCAAGGTCTCACAGCTCCTAACTGGCAAAGTTGGGGTTCACACCCAGTCTGGCTCTTACCCAACAAGCTTCACTGTTTCCATAAGGAGTTGTGACTCATAGGAGGGTAGTGATCAGTTATTCTGAAAGTGGGAGAACAGAGGAGGTCATGGCTTTACAAGGCTGGGCCTGAAAGGCTGATCCCTAGTCTGAGGTCTCTTCCTTTTTTTAAAAAACTAACGTTTTAAAAAAGGATAAAATATACATAGTATAAAATCGACCATTTTAATAATTTTTGAGGCACACAGTCTATTGGTATTAAATATTAATACTTTTCATATTGTGCGACCTTCACCACCATCCATCTCCAGACTTCTTCATTTTCCCTAAACTGAAACTGTCCCAATTAAACAATAATTTACCTATTTTCTGCCATTCCCCCAGCCCCTGGCAACCACCATCTACTTTCTGTCTCTATGAATTTGACTACTCTAGGTGCCTCATGTAAGTGGAATCATATACTATTTGTAACATTGTGACCGGCTTATTTCACTTAGCATGATAATATCTTCAAGGTTTGCTTCTTCTTTTTAAAAAATTCTGTAATTTGAAATTCTTATGGCCAAAATATAAGAAACCCAAGCTTGTTTTTAACAGCCTGATATAGTCATATTGAAGGGCATGTGATTATATACATTTTTTATTCTGACGCTGTATTTGAGAAGCTACTCATAGAGCCCAGCAGAGAGATGCCTAAATTACACAGTAGGCCCTTTAAATTGTTTAGGATGCGATGGGACAAGAGAATTAAATATATTGAGTTCTGTTTGGGAGTAAAGAGAATATAAGCTGGTAGAAAACAGAGAATTAAATATATTGAGTTCCGTTTGGGAGTAAAGAGAGTATAAGCTGGTAGAAAACAGAGAATATGGGAGGATTTCTTTCTTAAAGAGGGGAATTTAAGAGTTAAGTGATTTAAATATTTCCTTAGTATTTGTTTCTTAGCCTCCAAAAGTAGGTCAAAATGTGTCTTTAAAAAAAAAAATTTAAAAATCCTCAAGGAATTTATGCAACCTCTTGTTTTAGATTTGCTGTCATTTTAGTGTCCGTAATCGAATTCTTCCTTAGGGTCTATTGTATGGACAAAGGGAAAATTTTTGGAAAGCCTCCCTGCTTCCCTTTGTAGTGAGAGCATCTTGTTCTTCCAGCGTGCTTCTGTGTACACTATCGAATTAGCTTTTCTAAGTCCTGGGGTAGGTGGATGGCAGTGGAGTGGGTCTCACTTTGAAATGAGGAGCTAAATGAAAGAGTAGTCAGGTAACTCACTCATCTGGTATCTCACTGAGAGCTTTAAATAAAAACATCCTTGCTTTGGTTTAATGTGTGGATACATTTTTTATCTTTGCTTTTTCCTTTTCTCAGAGCTTAACAAAAGATTTGGGAGGCAATGCAAAATGCTCAGACTTCACGGAAGAAATCTGTCGCCGAGTAAAAGATTTAGATTAAGGCTTCTACAAATGCTTTTGCCTCAGTCATTCCTAACGGACTCCATGTCAGCCTGTATTAGAATACCTCCCATTATGTATGCATTTATGCATTTGTTGCTTGTTTCTTGACAGAGTACATTTTTAGACCTGGCCTTTTCTTAACAAAGTCTGTGCAGAGGATGCAGGTGATGTCCCTGGGGCTGCTTTCAAAGGACTTTATCCAAGTGCTTATTTTATTTATTAAATGTCTATCTGGTACACATTTTTTGAAAACTCTAAGTGGACTGTACTGTATCATTTGCCATTGTTAACCATTTTACGCTTCAGTTACAACAGTTTTTCTTTACCTGTAAATATCGTGATACAGAATTAATACGAGAAAACATATAACTTTTTCAAGAAAAACAATGATTTCCTTGGTTTATGAAAAATATAATGGAAATAAAATAGAATGTTGACATATTAGCACAAGATGATATTCTTATAAAACTAAATGGGCACAAGAGAAATTTCCTGGGAAAGTTTACATCAAAAACAGCGAATATGGTATATTTCTTAGCAATATGGAAAGTAAAGACTGATTTGTGCTTTACATGAATTACTGAGTATGAATAAAGACTTCAGATCCGAGAAATATATAATGAGAGATGTAGTTTTTGTTAATAAGATATGGGTAATGTATCGGGTACAAAGACACAAATGCATTGTGTGTTCAGTTATTTTTATCTTGAGATGATTGTTCCTGGCGAGAGCTTTTAATGAAGGAGTGATCCTTCCTTTTCATTGGACATACATCAAGCATCGTGTGTAACGCAGCCCTTGATCCCCTGTGCAGACCCTCGGTCAGACATGGGAGCCGACCATTGTGTGCGATCACTCTTCCCCAGCGTGTCTGTCTCTGTCTGGAAGTGGACCACACTCCCACTGATACTGCTAAAAGGCCTGACCATATAAAATTTGACTGCAGTTGAGGACCCTGGGGTGCTGGCTATTAACTTTATATTTCAGTGGCTACCCCTTCCCCAAAACACCAAATTACCACCCTGTGCCTCAGCACCACCAATAAAAAATGAGTTGCAGACTCAGGCTGAGATGAGTCACAAAATCGTGCCACCTGGGGCTTGCCTTAGCTTTTGACCTTCAGGCACTTCCCCATCCCTCCTCCATTCCCCATCCTTAGCATGATTTTTCTTTAATCTTCAGACACTAAGTCACTGTTTTCAGGGAACCCTTTGGTCCCACACCAAAGGCAACTCATGTCCTTCTTGGCCCTTGTGTAACATTGCAAACCTGTGGCTTTGCATTGTGTACCCTGGTCACAAGGGGATTTCTTTGTTTTTTTTGTTTTTTTTGTTTTTGCGGTACGCGGGCCTCTCGCTGTTGTGGCCTCTCCCGTTGCGGAGCACAGGCTCCGGACGCGCAGGCTCAGCAGTCATGGCTCACGGGCCGAGGCACTCCGCGGCATGTGGGGTCTTCCCAGACCAGGGCACGAACCCGTGTCCCCTGCATCGGCAGGCGGACTCTCCACCACTGCGCCACCAGGGAAACCCACAAAGGGATTTCTTAACAACCACAAATACCCCTGTCTGGGTCCTTTTTTTAGGCTGGTAACCAGACTTACAACCTTATATGTGTTTTACTTTGTTTAAACTGCTGCTTCTGTTTTATTGAATTGTGCTAATTATCAGTGTATCCTTGGGTTTACGCTAACAAAGAATTCCCAAACGAATTGAGGTGTATGCTTTCTCTACCGATTCCCCATTTAGATGCCTTAGGTCATTTTGGCTCAGTTTGCTACTAAGAATGGCTGCTTCAGGGCTTCCCAGGTGGCGCAGTGGTTGAGAGTCCGCCTGCCGATGCAGGGGACACGGGTTCGTGCCCCGGTCCGGGAGGATCCCACATGCCACAGAGCGGCTGGGCCCGTGAGCCATGGCCGCTGAGCCTGCGCGTCCGGAGCCTGCGCTCCGCAACGGGAGAGGCCACAATAGTGAGAGGCCTGCATACAGCAGGCAGAAAAGAGAAAAAAAAAAAAAAAGAATGGCTGCTTCAAGTATTCAGAGTAGGCAGGGTGAGGGGACACGGGTTCGATCTCTGGTTGGGGAACTAAGATTCCACAGGCTGTATGGCTCAGCCAAAACAAACAACAGAGTGGGCAGGGTGGCATGGTGGTGACAGACTAGCACCTAATTGACTGCTTTCATTAGAATGCTCCACTTGACCTCCTCCCACACCTTTGCTTATTCCAGGGCACTAGAGGTCATTGGTATACCTATTATTGCACAGTGTCCTGTGGGTTAAATAACCACTACTCTGGACTGATCTGCTGCTCTATTGACAAAAAATCAGGTACTTGTTGACAGTTCTGTTAAAAAGTTTAATTTCAAATTACACATTAAATACAACCAAATAGGCAGCAGCAGTTTTATTAAGCATCAAAGTCAGTGGGTGTGTGTATGGTGGAGTGCCTGGTAATGGGATGATGGGGTCGGCAGTGTCCAACAAGATTCCAGAGTAAGTTGGGTGTTAGGTGAGTTACAACTGAGCGCTTTCCCTGCGGCACACTGGTTAGCCGAGCCGTCTTCCCCCTCCCCCCTCCCCCAACACCCAGCCTCCTGTTAAGTGAGCTAGCAGCCTGTTAAATCTACCTGGAACTAAGGCCAAAGGATCAGCCCTTTAATTCTGGAAAGAGAGTTGATCTCACTTGTCACCCAAACAAAAAGCAATACTTTTAAAACTATCCACACGTGAAGCCTCTCGGCATAAGACCTGGCAAATGTAGATGCCAGGACCGTACCTGACCCAGAGAACCTAACAGACTTGCCAGAAGTCCATGTGCCCAGACTGAAGAGGACCTGGGTTGGGGGGGGTGGGGTCAGGAAAATACTCAGCCTGCCGTCTTCAGGAGAAACCCGGGAAGGACGACCCCTGATTACTTTTTTTGCTCTTGGTAAAAGGAATCGATGATATCTTTGTACTTCTCTAGGATTGTGAGCCGTTTCAGCTTCATTGTGGGACCTAAAAGAGAAATTGGAAGAAATGAGTGAGGGCTGGGCTCTGAGATGTCTGAGAAGGTGTGTGGTAAACATCTAGACTCAGTGAGTCCCAGCACTCTGGAATTAAGCCAGACCAACAAGTAGCCATCCTACAAGATGGCCCATGGTGATCCCTGCTCCATGGTCACACCCTTGTGTGGCTCCTTCCCACACTGTACCAGGGTTGGTCTAAGTGGCCGGTAGAATACAGAGGAAGTGGGATAATTTACATGACAATAACTGATAGGCAAATCATCTCTGCATTTCAGTGAAAGTTCATACGATGTTGGATGTAATGCTTTGATTGCTTGTGATGGGGTAGGGGAAAGCCCTGGCCAGGGAGGGCCTCTGGCATGGTCTTTATGAGAGGTCTTCCTCATATCACTTTTCTTGGCCTTGGTTCTCTCCTCTGATGCAAGGTTAAAAGGGCTCTGATTTGGGTAGCTTCAACTCCATTTTTTGCTAGCTCATACTTGGCTGTGTAACTGGAGACTTCAAAGTCAAAGCCATTTATATAAACTGCTTAGAGAGGACACGTATCTGGTTGACCTTGCATTCAATATGCTGGCACAAGACAACCAGATAAGCTCAGGGTCTCTGATAGCAGCTCAGCATTACTGTGGATAGTTGCATCTGGGTTCAGCCTTGATGGGTAGGAGGGAATCTCACTGAAGGAGCCATTTGCATACCCACCCCGCCGTGCCGTGAACACCCCAAGATGCTACAGCCAAGAGCGACTTCATCCATCCAACTGAGGCCACACCAGAGGCCTTTTCTGGTTCTATGGACCATGGTCCAGAAGGGCTTCCACCCTTTACCTGTTGCATGAGCTGACTTTACAAAAGATTATGGTGGTATCACTCCCTAGAGCCAGATGACTCCAGCCCAAACACTAACAGGAACTTGGTGTCTGCCTGGTGGTCCCATTGTGACTTCAGGGGAAAATGGTTCCTTAGTCAAAACAAAGTTAAATGTTATAGGTTCAAATTAATGAATTCCAGCACATATATACTGAACAGGCCCTACCTAACCACAAGCCCAAGCACTGAGCAATCAATGTCCTCCCACAGGAAGGAGGTGGGTGTCATCCAAAGTGCCGTCAGGGACCTTCTGTTTGCCATGGCTGCTTCCTAGTAGGCACCTCCCAGGCTCTGCCATGGCCTCTGCCCTCCTGCACAGCCCCTGCAATAGTGTAAAGAAAACACCTACCCAACTCTCCACCCGAAATGGAGAAGTCCCTCTCGAGAACGGCCCACTTCTGGATGTGGTAGGGTCGGGCAGCTGCATTCATGTTGACTCTCTGGATCCCCTCTTTAATGGCCTGATACACGGCCTCACCCTTCTTCCCCACGACCTCCGACACCGTGGTGGCTTTGCTGCCCACCCTCTGGCAGAACTCCACAGCTTGCTCGGTCAGATTATCAGTTGGGTCAGAGGTATCAGGATCCAGAGTGCACTGAAAAGCCAGAGATAGATCAAAACCAAGCCTCACTCCACAAGATGTGTGCCCTGGTCTTGGAGGAGGTCGCACGGCTGATCGTCAAGGACGTGGATCGCTGTGAGCTCTGTTTCAAAGAGACGGTTCTAGAATGAGTGGGATGCTACTCAGACTGCGTTGGGCCCCGTGGTGGGGTGGAAGGAAGGGAGGCCTGAGATTGAGATGACCTCAGCCAGTGAGATCATCTTTTAAAACAGGGACCATAATTCTGGCCCCGTCTGCTACCCTGGTATCATATACCAGATTGGTTATCTGCTGAGGGGACTGAGGGCAGCAGCGCTGTGTAAACTGGACTGTACTGGGACACACAGAAGATCATCGGGGCAGCATACTAGTAACGGTATTACCAGGGGCAGAAGGGATTTCCATGCGCTACGGCTGCCCCTTAGGGCAGGCAGCACTGACTAGGTATTCCAGAATACAGTCATGAGATCCAGACATGCCCTGGCTGAACATGGCTTCTTTTGGGGCCAGACCCACAGACCACCCACTGGCTGCTCCTCCAGAGCCAGAACCGCCCCCACGACACACCTTCAAGGTGAGCAGCATGGACAGGAACTTCCTCTGGTCCCCGATCAGCACGGCATTGCTGATGATGGGTAGCTCTGTCTTCACGGCCTCCTCAATGGGCACAGGGGGCACATTCTCCCCGCCAGCCGTGATGATCAATTCTGGGGAGGCAAGGCCAGGCCCCCGGCACAGGCTTTAGTCCAGGTGCTCAGGCCAAGTGCACCCAGACTCTGCCTGGAGAGCCGACCCTCTAAGCAGGACCCAGGCTCGATCACACATCTGCCTGCGTGATTTCCAGAAAGGTGTTTACCCACTCACCGAGCTTCAGTTTCCCCTGGGAAGTTGGGGCATGGGATTCCCACAGGGGTGCTGAGGGCACTGTATCCACTTGGGCAAAGTAATGCAAAGCACCTCTTCCATGGAGGTGTCCCCAACGTACTTGCCTGGGAGAGCCGAGCTGTTCATGGGAAATTTCTTTGAAATCTCATGCTCTATTTTAAATTTTATGTCCAATTTGTGTTCTACTCTGCCTCATATCCATGTTTGCATATAAAAACACATATTTATGTCCTCAAATTTTCTGGAAAGACTTGCCTTGTTTATCTAGGGAGTTTGTATCTCAGCTCTGTCATTTACAAGCTGGGTGACCTTGGGCA